GTTTGTGTATTATGAATATGATCAAGTGAAATTATTTATGCAGTATTTTGCCCATTTCCCTCAAAATTGCATATTGTAATATTGTACATTTTTATCAATTTGCTAGAATATTTGATACCTCACCAACAAGTATCTTATAACGAAATTCAATCAGAATATTTATCAATTTTTAAATTTTTTTTAAGTTGTTTTGTCACTTGTTGGTGTCCCTGCCATACTGTACGATGGTGTAGCCGTGCGTTATGCACGTGGATTGTTTACATTCGTTTTGACGGGGACTTTACTGAATAGAGTCTGGTGACTGTACTGTTCGACTTTTATTCCAAGAAATTTCTATGTACAGTCTGTACATAGAAATTTCTTGGAATAAAAGTCGAATCGTTCATTCATGTGCACTTGTTATGCAAAGCAGGGGCAGTGGTTCAACAATATCTATGTTGACTTGCAGAAAGTGTGCAAGAACGCGACTTGAATGCTTTTATGTGTTCACAATACAACGACGCTGTTTAGTTATTTCACTGTGTGACACAGTGAGAAATTTTAGAATCATAATGGCGTCAGCGATACTTGCTGGGGAGCTCTTGCGTACGACTTTCTGTACTTTGGTACTGTTGTCTCCAGGACAATTGTGTGTACGGTAACCCGACGTACCCAGATTTTTAAAGACGAAATTGCCGACCTCAAACTTGTTAGTGCCATATTTGGCAACTATATGTGCGTTATTAGTTAAATTAAACGATTGAACTGGTTAATTAAACATAGTACCATTGAAGGTACCTAAAAGTAAACATAACAGCATAGAAGACCGACAGACGAACATAAAATGTTACAAAATAAACATATTTTCTGGATAATTTCAACACTATTTATGTAGCTGGGCTATCACCCTCGGAAAATTTACTCAGCATCTCTAATTACGAAAACTGAATCACATGACGTGAAAGAGAAATGTCGTGCCGAAAATTAACTTCCACTTCCAAAAATCTAAAATACGTGTGGACTTGTGGAACTCGGAGCACTCGTACGAAGACGAAAATTTAAGAAATTATTTTGAGGCGGTCGTTGGGTAAAAACTTAACTTTAATCAGGAGACTAAATTGTCTTTTGGGACATACATTATTTTTGAATAAAATTGAAGGACAAATTCTCATTCACAAACAAATCTAAAATGACCGTTGATAAAGACTGTATTCAAGCAATTAGCAAACTAAATCTAGACTCCATCGGCTGTAAGTATAGGGATTAATCTTCGCGTCGTTATCATTTCGTTCTCATGCAAGTACGCAATGTGAAACGTGATCGAACAAGGAGACCGATAGGTACGAAAATCCGGATGTGAGAGGTACGAGTACAATTTGTTTTTACCCATCTCCAACTGTTTTCTCGTCATTCTTTTCCCGTCGAATGCCAATATATAATTCCAACATGAATGTTTTCTGGAATGATTACAGTTAGAAATCATTCAGCAAGGGAAAGGGCAACCCCGTGTAGAATTCCCTCACAAGGGTCGCGGAGGGGTCCGGAAGCTCCAAAATAAAAGGCGTACTTTCAGGTTGTAATGAGGCTTAATAGAGTGAGTGAAGTTTCCCGAACGCTTATTCAACAGAGAAAATTATTACTAGTAGGTTAGGCAAGGCCTGACCTTCAATTTAAGATAGATTTAAATCATTTAATATTATGTATCATCATCGAATTCTTATAATTAAATGTCATGAAAATGAAAGTTTAATTAAGAATTTGATGTGGACTGAGGCCAACGTGATGTGTTTACTTCCGTCGTTTGTATTGACAATGCTCAGGAATCTAAACAAACATCATACGTTTATTGACTCGCTTTGTAAATTATTATTCGAATGCAAATTGCCAGCACCCGCTCAAATTGACAAATGACAACGAAAAACAAAACTGGCCAAATTGCATCGTTTCTTTCACAATGAAGCAGTCAGAATTAAACCATTGCTTCTATGGTATAGTGGGAACAATGTGCAAAGATCAAATTCGAGGTTATCTAATGGCGTTTTCGCAAATCAATAACCGAGAACATTTTGATTATTTCAGGCCTCTGTGGTTACCTTTAGACGTGAGATTGTAGGCCACCCTTCTGAACAAATAATTATGAATGCATTTTGCAGATGTTATCTCTGTTCAAGTTCTTGGTAGCCTATGTCATGTACAGTGCACGTTGTTTATGTTGGGTGCATATCTAATCATAACCCTAACCCTCATCCTAAGGATTTCGGGGAACATTGGTATTGGGGAACACACAATGTTTAAATTGTGTGTACATTAACATAGTTTTTGTTTGAATTATAACTAATTAACACCTGTTCTCAATCTGTTTTCGCACAAAAACCATGAAATTCAATTCAATGAACCCATTACCGAGTTCCATGCAGGATTCTTCTGTGCTCTCGGGTTTACCGGCCCACCACACCTCCTTTCCCCATATGTCCATCCATATAACCCGAGGGTCAAGCGCCATAAAAGAAGGTAAACGAGGCGGCACCCTAAGCCTTGGCTGCGCAGAGTTCAGCCAAAAGAGCCCCGTACCTTTACGAAGATGCTAACCTGGACTTCGTGGACAGCCCCAATTAGAGCTTTAAAACCGATCACGCTAGTTACTGTTGGTATTTTACGACGGGAAATTAAAGTGCTGACCGCGTGCGTAGAAAATAAAACAAGACACCACGGGGATTCGAACCAGTGACATCTATGGTCAAAGAACCTCAGCACCAATGTGTCTTAATAGGCGGAGATACGAGGAGGGTTGTTTCAATGTTGGCTTTTATAGCTTCGCGCGTTCACGACACAGAGACTGCATTTTTGAGGAACGAGCAAACTGCTTTTAATTTGACTGTTGTCATAAATAACCATATATAATGACATGCAACAATAAACAAAAACATACAACTATGACAAGGGAAACGCATGGGTGGCGTGCACTTTTGACATGAAGACACACCGGACAAACACAGATCCTCAACCCCAGTCTAGTACTGATTGTTGGACAGAATGTCGGCTTAACCCTAAAGGGGCCGGGTTATTTTGACCATCTCTCAGCCGGGGGGGGGGCGGATTCCGCCGCCCCCTAAGATCTCGGCTATCGAGTGACGAAAAATTTTGAAACTTTGCACATGCATAGAGCAACTCTTCCTAAACATACCCAAGAAATTTCATGACTATAGGTCAAAGGGTTTTGGAATTATGGCTAATTAATTATTCATATGTACGAATGGCAATTCTGCTCTGTGTACACGACGTATATGGGAAAATTCAGTTTTCAAGGCGCGTAGCGCCGGACAATTTTTCGCTACCCGGCAACCCGTGGTCCGATTTTTATGTTTTTGGTATCAAAAGATGCGCAAAGCTCGAGGCTAAAAAGTCATAACAGCTCGGGTCGCGAAAAAAATTTTTTTAGAGGCTATCACGGAAAATGTTGAGGGGGGGGGGGGCGGATTCCGCCCCCCCGGCCCTTTTAGGGTTAAGATGTCAGTCAACCGAGTTACACCAACGCGATAGATCACGGGCAGTTTTCTGCTAAACATGACGGTCAAAATTCTATTCTTTGAATGAATGTATAATGCTTATTATTTAAGTTGCTTAGTTTGATGTAAAAAAACAAACTCGTCAGTCCATTGTTGATTTACCTGTACTCGTACTTACTCGAGTACTTTTTTTTCGTACTCGTACTCGCACTCATGGAATGTATTCGCACTCGTACTCGCAAAGAAAACAAATTCCCTGTACTCGTACTAGTGGCAAAGTACTCACACTCATACTCGTACTCGTGGCAAGTACTCATCGTACTCGTGGAAAAGTGCTTGTACCTAACGAGACTCTTAAAAATACAGTGTAAACAAAAATTGGTAAAAAAGTGGACTTTGAATGAAGGGCATTGAAGGCATGTTCGGCACTCAGTGTTGGTTATCTCATCTGTGCAGACTAGCTCCATTCTGGATACAATATACAGCCTATTGACTCCTACAAGATAACAACATTTAATGATTTGTTGATAATAAATGAAGAACTCATTAAAATCATAAAATATTAGAGAGCAAGTTAAGGACCAACCATTATTCAACCATATTAATTTGAATCTCATTTCACTCTTGTCTTGAAACATTTCGTTAATGTTAATTATAACATGCTATATCGAATGCGTGACTGCTGTCATAGTTGTAATAAAGTAAAAATATCAAACTGTTCCATGGCTCCCACTTGTTCCAGTTTTACTCTGCAATACATGTGGCCACACTTCATGGTTTAATTAAGGTGTCCAATTGTGTAAAGTTGTTTGGGTCTAATAAAGGGTTCACGGCTTTGTTCATGTGTTACGTTCATGAACTATCTTTTCTATAATGTGTGAAAAGTACCCGGGAATATGTGTACCCATAAAAATGTACTCGTACTCGTACTCATGGAAAAGTACTCGTACTCGTAGAAAAGTTTTGCTTTGTACTCGTACTGGTATTCACGGAAAAGTGTACTCGTATCCATGGAAAAGTAATCGACTATTACAACACTGCAGTCGTCACTGACACAAATTGAAATAATGGAAATAATTATAGAGGTAATAATGATTATCAATAGGCTAGACTAATTCTAAAGAAAATTTTAATGGTTAATTGAGAAATTCTCGAAATCAAGCGCACCAATTTAGGCAACCCCATCCCCGACATTTAGCTAAATTGCCGGACACTATCTTTACGAATTTCAGGCCTAAAACTTCTTGAAAAAAAAGTCATAATGAAGGCTCGTCTACATCATGGAGCTATAAAAAACGAAGAAGATGTAGTTCCATGACTACACAGAGGTTCAAGCGACACTACGTGAAGAAAGTCAGGGGAAGGTCTTTTGTATTGCGGGGCCTCCCACAATCATTGGGCCCACGCACTCCATGCACAATCTCACCCATCAGGCCCTGCCCCACTGGCTTAATTAAACAAAAGTTTGAAATGTTTAAAATGTCGAAGTCAAGAAGTATTATGTCGTCCATGTACAGTGAAACGCCGCGGTAACGAACACGATGGGGTGCACAGAAAGTGTTCGCTATAGTGGTTGTTCGTTACAGTGATTGTGCATTATAATATAATTCACTATTTCGTGAGCTGAGCCCGTGGGGACGTTCGTCATAACCAAATGTTCGTTATAGTGGTGTTCGTTATAGCTACGTTTCACTGTATAACGCATCGGGTTTCCACGTTACAGCACTGCTAGAGCGACATAGTGGCTCTGCTTCACAGCGTTTTGGTTGCAGTCGATTTTATGGTCATTTTTGTTGGTGGAACGGGAGAAAGCTTCCACGAAGGCTTGCCGGTAATGACGGCTCGTCACGTTATAGATGATGGGATTAACCGCCGAATTCAAAAACACAAACACGTGACAGACGGTGAGGGCGAACACCAACTTCCGGTACGTGACATCAGGTGGGACCCCGAGCAGATTCTCCACGAGGAAGCCTAGGGATAAGGCGATGAAGGGCGTCTGGCAGAGAAAGAACACGGCACCGTTGGCGATCAGCATACGGGTGACCTGGTTACGGATATGAAGAGCCTGCTGGGTGTCCACTGACGAAGGCGTGAGTAGGTTCTGCTCACGCTTGCGTCTCACTCTGGTATTGAGATTGATGATGATCAGGGTACACATGATTGCATTAGTAATCAAGGCGACGATGAAGACGATGGATTCTAAGACATGACCGACAATCAGTCCCCAGTGACTGACGGCCACACAGTATCCCAACTGGACCGGTAGGTCGTAGTAAGGTTCCTCATCCGGCCAGATCGCGCAGGTCTTGAAGAGTTTAGCATATCGCACCATGACTAAACCAGCCAGGCCAACTGCCACCAGCCAGCTACCAACCACCAGCTTCAAGCTCTGCTTCAACCTCGTGCCGCCCTGCTGTCCGTGGTAGAGGAACGGCTTACAGATGGCGTTGTATCGCTCGTGGGTGACCAGGCTCACCATGGAGATGGAGGCGAAATAGGTGACGTACTGGGGGAAGAAGGCGCCCACACAGCCCACGAATGACGCGGTTGCTAGGTGACTGCGGACGGGGTGAGTAAAGTAGAAGTTGTACTGCACTATGCTGCTGATCAGGAACATGAGGTCGGCCACGGCCAGAGTAGCCAGGTAGACATTGGTGATGGTCCGCATGTACGGCACACGAGCCACTACGAAGAGAAAGGCAAGATTGCCTGGGATGCCGACGGCTAAGATGGTGAAAAGAATGGTCAGCATTGTTGTGCTGATGCCGTTGTCAAGGAGGTATATACTGGCATCCTCCTCCAAAGTCAAGTTCATCAACGGCAGGCGACTACATTCACTGCTCTTGTTCACCTCAAAATCTTGATCCATCCTGTCAAATCCCTAAGGAGCCGGATACGAAATCAGGAAAAACCAAGATCCTATAGGCCTGTATAGGCGGTACGGTATACGTGCTAGTAGAATACGGTTCTGCCAAAGAAATACTGCAGTTTAACATTAGATCAACTATCACAGTATATATGTACACAGGTATATATATATGTCACAGGTATATGTACATGTCTGATGCTCAACCTTGTCGTATATTGCGCAGCAATATTCCCGCTGAATAGAGTCTGGTGACTGTGCATAGAAATTTCTTGGAATAAAAGTCGAATCGTTCATTCATGTGCACTTGTTAGCAGGGGCAGTGGTAAACAAAAATTGGTAAAAAAGTGGACTTTGAATGAAGGGTATATGTACATGTCGGATGCTCAACCTTGTCGTATATTGCGCAGCAATATTCCCGCGAGTAACACTGCCTGCAAGTAGACCACGCCCCCATTTTGATAAGAGAATGTAGTAACGCGCATGCTTGGTCACTGCGTATGACTCCATCCACAAAGAATCGGTATGTTTTTGGTATTCACTACAGTCGTTTGAAAAAAAGCGGGTGGGTAGATCTGAATCATACTGAATGACGTTACATGTTGTGTTAACAATATTTTTCGTTGTGGGTCTGAAAATGAAAATTGACGGTTTGTGTATTATGAATATGATCAAGTGAAATTATTTATGCAGTATTTTGCCCATTTCCCTCAAAATTACATATTGTAATATTGTACATTTTTATCAATTTGCTAGAATATGTGATACCTCACCAACAAGTATCTTATAACGAAATTCAATCAGGATATTTATCAATTTTTAATTTTTTTTTAGTTGTTTGGTTACTTGCTGGTGTCCCTGCCACACTGTACGATGGTGTAGCCGTGCGTTATGAACGAGGATTGTTTACATTCGTTTTGACGGGGACTTTACTGAATAGAGTCTGGTGACTGTACTGTTCGACTTTTATTCCAAGAAATTTCTATGTACAGTCTGTACATAGAAATTTCTTGGAATAAAAGTCGAATCGTTCATTCATGTGCACTTGTTATGCAAAGCAGGGGCAGTGGTTCAAGGATATCTATGTCGACTTGCAGAAAGTGTGCAAGAACGCGACTTGAATGCTTTTATGTGTTCACAATACAACGACGCTGTTTAGTTATTTCACTGTGTGACACAGTGAGAAATTTTGGAATCATAATGGCGTCAGCGATACTTGCTGGGGAGCTCTTGCGTACGACCTTCTGTACTTTGGTACTGTTGTCTCCAGTACGGTAACCCGACGTACCCAGATTTTTAAAGACGAAATTGCCGACCTCAAACTTGTTAGTGCCATATTTGGCCACTATATGTGTGTTATTAGTTTAATTAAACAATTGAACTGTTTAATTAAACATAGTACCATTGAAGGTACCTAAAAGTAAACATAACAGCATAGAAGACCGACAGACGAACATAAAATGTTACAAAATAAACATATTTGTCTGGATAACTTTTTAGGGCGTTACCGGCAAGTTAACACAAACTTGGTGTCAAATAGATCATGGGAGTTACTTGTCTTTGACTTTTCATACAAGTTTACATAAACTTTAACTGTATGACCTGCAGTGGCGTAGCCACGGGGGGGGGGGCCGTGGGGGGCGACAGCCCCCCCCCCATGAAACCTTGTCGCCCCCAGTCGCCCCCCCCCCCACTGAGATTTTGAGTTTCTAAAAAAATTATCATTGATCTACATGACGCCCCCCCCCCAAGAAATGTTCCAGCCCCCCCCCCCCCCCAAGCGGCCCCCCCCCCCCCCCCCCACTGAAAAATTCCTGGCTACGCCACTGCGTAGGCCTAAACGTGTGCTAAACATACTTATCGTTACACAATAATGAACACACATGTTTACGTTACATACCTAGTGTGGACATTCTTTTTGTTTTGGTGTAGTTAAGAAAAACCTGTGAAAACAAAATCGTTTTACTCACACTGTGGAAATTCTTTCAACCCATTTTTGTCCCCTATGATTCCCTTAAGTGTTTCTCTTCATTCTGCCACAAACAAACCTAACGCAAAAAAGCCTCTATTAAACGGGGTTTTTTTTAGGGAGGGGGAAACATTGTGTGGACGTGGGCAAGTCCACACAACGTCGCTGCTACCTGGTTTTTGTGGACCTCTTTTGTCCACACAGTGAATGTAATGCTTCAACACTATTTATGTAGCTAGGCTATCACCCTCGGAAAAGGGCTTGTATTAAACATCGTTATTTACTCAGCATCTCTAGTTACGAAAACTGAATCACATGACGTGAAAGAGAAACGTCGTGCCGAAAATTAACTTCCACTTCCAAAAATCTAAAATACGTGTTGACTTGTGGAACTCGGAGCACTCGTACGAAGACGAAAATTTAAGAAATTATTTTGAGGCGGTTGTTGGGTAAAAACTTAACTGTAATCAGGAGACTAAATTGTCTTTTGGGACATACATTATTTTTGAATAAAAGGGCAACCCCGTGTAGAATTCCCTCAAAAGGGTCGCGGAGGGGTCCGGAAGCTCCAAAATAAAAGGCGTACTTTCAGGTTGTAATGAGGCTTTATAATAGAGTGTGTGAAGTTTCCTGAACGCTTATTCAACAGAGAAAATTATTACTAGTAGGTTAGGCAAGGCCTGACCTTCAATTTAAGATAGATTTAAATCATTTAATATTATGTATAATCATCGAATTCTTATAATTTAATGTCATGAAAATGAAAGTTTAATTAAGAATTTGATGTGGACTGATGAGGCCAACGTGATGTGTTTACTTCCGACGTTTGTATTGACAATGCTCAGGAATCTAAACAAACATCATACGTTTTATATTGACTCGCTTTGTAAATTATTATTCGAATGCAAATTGCCAGCAGTGACCTGCTCAAACTGACAAATGAAAACGAAAAACAAAACTGGCCAAATTGCATCTGTTACACAATGAAGCAGTCAGAATTAAACCATTGGTTCTATGGTATAGTGGGCAAGGGCGGATCCAGAACACAATTTTTTGGGGGGCCAAAACAAATTTTGGTCCCCCAAAAAAGTGGGTCAAAAAAATTACGGCGTGGGGTACGGGGCCCGCTTAAGGGCCCCGAAAATTTTTTGGATTCTCGATGCTCTGTGGTGCGATTTGAGGCAATTTCTGACCACTTTTTTTAACCAATTTTTTTTGAGGAAAAGATGGTGGTGTACTCATTGCCTGCCTTTATTGCGATGTCACATAATAAAAAAAATAATAATTGGTTTCGTTTTTTTGGGGGGGGGGCATGGCCCCCTTTGCCCCCCCCGGATCCGCCCTTGTAGTGGGAACAATGTGCAAAGATCAAGTTCGAGGTTATCCTATGGCGTTTTCGCAAACCAATAACCGAGAACATTTTGATTATTTCAGGCCTGTGTGGTTACCTTTGGACGGGAGATTATGCCACCCTTCTGATTAAATAATGATGAATGCATGTTTGCAGATGTTATCTCTGTTCAAGTTCTTGGTAGCCTATGTCATGTACAGTGCACGTTGTTTATGTTGGGTGCATACCTAACCATTACCCTAACCCTCATCCTAAGGATTTCGGGGAACATTGGTATTGGGGAACACACAATGTTTAAATTGTGTGTACATTAACAGAGTTTTTTTTGTTTGAATTATAACTAATTAACACCTGTTCTCAATCTGTTTTCGCACAAAAAAACAAAAAATTCAATTCAATGAACCCATTACCGAGTTCCATGCAGGATTCTTCTGTGCTCTCGGGTTTACCGGCCCACCACACCTCCTTCCCCCATATGTCCATCCATATAACCCGAGGGTCAAGCGCCATAAAAGAAGGGAAACGAGGCGGCACCCTAAGCCTTGGCTGCGCAGAGTTCAGCCAAAAGAGCCCGTACCTTTACGAAGATGCTAACCTGGACTTCGCGGACAGCCCCAATTAGAGCTTTAAAACCGATCACGCTAGTTACTGTTGGTATTTTACGACGGGAAATTAAAGTGCTGACCGCGTGCGTAGAAATAAAACAAGACACCACGGGGATTCGAACCAGTGACATCTATGGTCAAAGAACCTCAGCACCAATGTGTCTTAATAGGCGGAGATACGAGGAGGGTTGTTCCGATTTTGTCTTTATATAGCTTCGCGCGTTCACGACACAGAGACTGCATTTTTGAGGAACGAGCAAACTGCTTTTAATTTGACTGTTGTCATAAATAACCATATATAATGACATGCAACAATAAACAAAACATACAACTATGACAAGGGAAACGCATGGGTGGCGTGCACTTCTGACATGAAGACACACCGGACAAACACAGATCCTCAACCCCAGTCTAGTACTGATTGTTGGACAGAATGTCGGCTTAAGATGTCAGTCAACCGAGTTACACCAACGCGATAGAACTCGGGCAGTTTTCTTCTAAACATGACGGTCAAAATTCTATTCTTTGAATAAATGTATAATGCTTATTATTTAAATTGTACGAAAGCCCGTTAGTGCCATCGAATGTATACATTGCTCTTTTGCAAGTTATGTTTGGTAAATCTTGTTTTTCGGATGTATATGTTTGGTGAATCTTGTTTTTCGGATGTATATGTTTGGTGGATCTTGTTTTTCGGATGTATATGTTTAGCAAGTCTTGTTTTTCGGATGTATAATGTCTAGCAAGTCTTGTTTTTTGGATGTATATGTTTAGCAAATCTTGTTTTTTGCAAGTATATGTTTGGCGAATCTTGTTTTTTGCATGTATATGTTTCCCGAGTCTTGTTTTTTGCAAGTATATGTTTGGCAAGTCTTGTTTTTTGCAAGTATAAATTTGGCAAATCTTGTTTTTGCAAGTATGTTTCGCAAGTCTTGTTTCTGTGAAGTCTATGTTTAGTAACAGTCTCTTTTTGTGCAATTATATGTTTCCCGAGTCTTGTTTTTGTGAAGTCTATTTTTAGTAACAGTCTTGTTTTCTTTGAAGTATATGTTTCCCGAGTCTTGTTTTTTGCAAGTATATGTTTCCCGAGTCTTGTTTTTTGCAAGTATGTTTCGCAAGTCTTGTTTTTGTGAAGTCTATTTTTAGTAACAGTCTTGTTTTTTGGAAGTATATGTTCGGCGAGTCTTGTTTTTTGCAAGTATGTTTCGCGAGTCTTGTTTTTGTGAAGTCTATTTTTAGTAACAGTCTTGTTTTTTACAAGTATATGTTTGGCGAGTCTTGGTTTTAAAAAAAAAAGTATATATGTAGGGACCCGATCTGCTACTCCCCACACAAACTTGTTGCACCCCTATTTTTATTTTTGGAATAGTCCTACTAGCTTGTACATGTACTTGTAGCTGCATAACATGTGGTCCATGTAATAATGGTACGGTATCCGGTCACTTCGGCACCTTGGCAACTCGGCACCTGCCAACTCGGCAACTCGGCACCCACCAACTCGGCACCCACCAAATCGACACCCACCAAATCGACACCCACCAACTCGACACCTGTACAAAAACCAGTTTGGCACCTAGCCGACTCGGCAACTGACCAACTCGGCACCTCCCCATGTGCAAGGAAGTTGAGTTGGAAGTTGTGAGAAAGTAGCAAAATTTGGGTGCCGAGTTGGCCAGGTGCCGAGTTGGCTGTGTGCCGACTAAATGCCGAGTTGGCGAGGTGCCAAGTTGGCAAGGTGCCGAGTTGGTGGGTGCCGAGTTGAAACATATACTTCCAAAAAACAAGACTGTTACTAAAAATAGACTTCACAAAAACAAGACTCGCGAAATATACTTGCAAAAAACAAGACTCGGGAAACATATACTTGCAAAAAACAAGACTGTTACTAAAAATAGACTTCACAGAAACAAGACTTGCGAAACATACTTGCAAAAAACAAGACTCGGGAAACATATACTTTCAAAAAACAAGACTCGGGAAACATATACTTCCAAAAAAACAAGACTGTTACTAAAAATAGACTTCACAAAAACAAGACTCGCGAAATATACTTGCAAAAAACAAGACTCGGGAAACATATACTTGCAAAAAACAAGACTGTTACTAAACATAGACTTCACAGAAACAAGACTTGCGAAACATACTTGCAAAAACAAGATTTGCCAAATTTATACTTGCAAAAAACAAGACTTGCCAAACATATACTTGCAAAAAACAAGACTCGGGAGTAGTGTATAGTGGGCATTTGACCTCGTTTTCTGGAGGAGGATCATGATCCTCATCGAGGATCATATCGGTAACCCCGACGACGAAAATTCGTCTCCTTCTGCCTCCGTTTCGGACTCCGAATAACCTTCCTCGAAATCTTCGTCGTCATTCTTCAAAGATTCAGCTTCGCAGTTTTCTATTTCCGAATCTTCAAATAACTCATCTTCATCCGATAATTTGTCATCTTTTACCTCCGTTTCGGATTTTGAATAATCTTCATCGAAATCTTCGTCTTCATCCTGCGTAGATTCAGTTCTACAGTTTTCTATTTCCGAATCTTCAAATCTACGCTTTTTAAAATCAGGTTCAGAATTATCCACATCAAGGTCCTCCACTTTAATTTCCTCCTCAGCATGTACATTTTCTATATGCCTCCGCAGGTTATATCTCCGCCCAAAGCTCTTGTCGCACTTATGACAAACATTGGATTTGACTGCAGAAATAGCATTCATATTGAGTCTTTGAAGGTAAATCTCCGAATGGCAAGAAACGGATGAAAACATTTGATATGTAGCTACTCAGTTCAGCTGCTCCTGCTCTTTTGCTCACCCTTGCTCTTTTATTGCTCATCTGCTCACGTCTTGCTCTTTTAATGCTCCTTCGTTTCATGTCTTACTTTCTTCTTGTTCGTTTGCTCTTTTCTTGCTCTTTTCTTGCTCTCTGCTCTTTTCTTGCTCTTTTCTTGCTCTTTTCTTGCTCTTTTCTTGCTCTTTTCTTGCTCTCTGCTCTTTTCTTGCTCTTTTCTTGCTCTTTTATAGCAAAGAGCAAGAAAAGAGCAAGACACGAGCAAGAAAAGAGCAAAGAGCAAGAAAAGAGCAAGAAAAGAGCAAGACAGGAGCAAGAAAAGAGCAAGAAAAGAGCAAGAAAAGAGCAAGACAGGAGCAAGAAAAGAGCAAGAAAAGAGCAAGAAAAGAGCGGAGAGCAAGAAAAGAGCAAGACAGGAACAAGAAAAGAGCAAAAGAGCAAAAAAAGAGCAAGAAAAGAGCAAACGAACAAGAAGAAAGTAAGACATGAAACGAAGGAGCATTAAAAGAGCAAGACGTGAGCAGATGAGCAATAAAAGAGCAAGGGTGAGCAAAAGAGCAGGAGCAGCTGAACTGAGTAGCTACATATCAAATGTTTTCATCCGTTTCTTGCCATTCGGAGATTTACCTTCAAAGACTCAATATGAATGCTATTTCTGCAGTCAAATCCAATGTTTGTCATAAGTGCGACAAGAGCTTTGGGCGGAGATATAACCTGCGGAGGCATATAGAAAACGTACATGCTGAGGAGGAAATTAAAGTGGAGGACCTTGATGTGGATAATTCTGAACCTGATTTTAAAAAGCGTAGATTTGAAGATTCGGAAATAGAAAACTGTAGAACTGAATCTACGCAGGATGAAGACGAAGATTTCGATGAAGATTATTCAAAATCCGAAACGGAGGTAAAAGATGACAAATTATCGGATGAAGATGAGTTATTTGAAGATTCGGAAATAGAAAACTGCGAAGCTGAATCTTTGAAGAATGACGACGAAGATTTCGAGGAAGGTTATTCGGAGTCCGAAACGGAGGCAGAAGGAGACGAATTTTCGGATAAAGATGAGTCATTTGAAGATTCAGAAATAGACAACTATGAAGCCGAATCTTCGCAGAACGAACGCAAAGATTTTGAGGAAGGTTATTCGGAATTCGAAACGGAGGTAGAAGACGACGAATTATCGGATGAAGATGAGTCTAGTTCTGAATTGGAAGACAATGTCGCCTATCAGGACTGGTTGGAAGACGCCAAAGACGCCACCGAAGAGATGTGGAGTGAGAAATATGAAAAGTACGTCAACGGGTGTATGGGTGAAGATCAAGCCAATGAAAAAGCAAATAGGAAGACACTCTGGGCAGTCAAGCGATGCTTTTTCAACAACTACAAGGATTTTTTGTCAAGTTACCTACATTTGAAAGATAACGATACTCATCAAGAAATTGTTGAAGATCTGGAAGAAAAAATAAATAAAGGCACAGAAGTAAATACAGCCCTCAACAGGATTATGCCTAAACACCAACCCAAATTTGACGGACTGTTCCAAGATCTTGAGGAAGACTAGCGTGGATTAAAGACAGTGATGACTGACTAGTAGTTTAAGAAAGACTATTGTAATTTTTAAAATAATAGTATACTGTAGCGCCCTTGGTAGAAAAGAAAACCTTGTAAAACTGCATCGAGAGGATTAGGTCGACCCTGAGGTAATAAAAGAAAAAATAAATTTGGCCGATGCACACCAAACGTTTACCTAACGTTGAAATGGTTCACACCGCTGATCGTGTGTGCATGGAAATACATGTACACGTACATGTATTTAAAAACTCCGCGAATTGGGACTTGACGATCGGACAAGTCTGGACTGGTCAGCCTGTTTGTCGTTCATCTCTGAATCATCACAATGACGTCACTGGCACTGGCGGCTGTGTACCGCCGATGGAGATATTTAAAAACACCGCGCATTCGGACTTGACGACCGGACAAGTATGGACTGGTCATTCTGTTTGCCGTCCATCGATGACTCATCACTGTGACGTCATAGGATTCCCCATCCAAATACAAAGGCCATTGTGATACTACTAACTCGGACCCGTTTTGTGGGTGGATGATGCGCGAATACGATGGCAATCGGTAACTTAAATTTTGACAGTATTTCTTCGTCCCCATATTTGCTATGGTCCTAACTTACACGGAAGATCTATAAGACCCAAGGTAGCCTATTTTGTAGTTTTAAGTAATGAAATGAACAAACAACAGAGTACGATTCATTCGCAAGAGTTGATGAGCAAATACGCGTTTAGTTCATGTTGGTTGTCACAGCCTCCGCAAAATAACAAGCGTTTGAGTTTCCCAAATTTCATTGACCGGGTAACGAGCTATGAGTATTGTATAAGCGTCCTATTTTTCAAGATAAACTCTTCTAAAACGCTCAATAATTACGAAACGTCTAATTTGAAGTGATGCCAGAAGTGTATACATTTAGGCTACCTGTCTTTTATTACAATAAGTTAACTGGAACTTGTGTTGCTCAAAAAAATAAAACATTGTAAATTATGATCATGCGCTTGTGCGCATTTTCAAACAATTTTTGAATGATTATTTTCTTGAACTTGTTAAAATACGGACGGAGGACCGCGTAATTACAATACATGTACATGTAATTGTAATGAATCGTTCAAAATACGAAACTACAAATATGGATGCGGGAAGTCAAAATACAATTGGAAATAATTATTATTTTTTGCGAGTCATTGAAATGTGTTCTGGCAGGACGGCAAAGTGCCGTATTTTGTTTTTATTTTGTTATTATTTTTTGTTACATTTGTATTTAATATCTTCGTTCGTTCATATAAGAAAAAGTAAAGTTCCGAGGGCAGACTGAATAATAAATCTTTCATCATTTGTTATACTGCGAACTGAACCGAATTAATCTGCCAATGTGTGTGCATTGTGTATTCAATTATTTCACTTTTATCTATTTATTATTATTACATGTATTAATTTGTTTAATAATATGTACATTTTAAGTTTAGCTTGCTTTTAATTTAATATTGTATGTTTGCTGTGGTTATGAATAAAATACCTGAAAACTGTATATCGCCCGTTGACCACTCAAGGAATGTTCTGGTGAGTTCCGGTTGGTTTTAGGCACCCCGAGTCGTCTTTTATTAAGAGTTGTGTATTTCTATTGTTTAAGGATATAATTTTTATGCAGTGGCTTTTAATATTTTTTTTTTTCAGTCCTTTTGTTTTTGCAGTTGGATGATTGTTAAGTTAGGATCTTAGATTCGGACCTTATGATGTAAGCTTTGGTGTTTTAACGTGGCCGTGTTTGTTCTGTGTGTACTTTTTTATGTTTTTGATATTTAGTTACGGTTTGTGTTGAAGCGTCTTGTACTCCTTGTGGGTTACTTCAATGTTATTTCTTGTTTTTCTAATACCCTGCGTTTGGTTTGTTTTGCGACAAAATATATATTTAAAGAATACGTACACATTTATATATATAAAAATAATATTCGATTCAAGAAAGCATGTCGAAAACTGTATCTTTTAAATTTCACCTTCATCCGGAATTGGGTAATGCTCTTTCGCCTACATTCACACACCGCGTCTCGATAGTTAGCAATCATAGGGTGTTCCTTATTTGTTATACATGTACATGTAGGATTATCTTCGAACTCTATAATACTCATTCGGCGCTAATCCTCACGATCGATTTGTCCATCGATCCATGACGTCACTACGCCACAGACACGCCTCGTTTTATGATCCTCGTCGGGGTTACCGATATGATCCTCGATGAGGATCATGATCCTCCTCCAGAAAACGAGGTCAAATGCCCACTATACACTACTCTCGGGAAACATATACATGCAAAAAACAAGATTCGCCAAACATACTTGCAAAAAACAAGATTTGCTAAACATATACATCCAAAAAACAAGTCTTGCTAGACATATACATCCGAAAAACAAGACTTGCTAAACATATACATCCGAAAAACAAGATTCACCAAACATATACATCCGAAAAACAAGATTCACTAAACATATACATCCGAAAAACAAGATTTACCAAACATATACTTGCAAAAGAGCAATGTATACATTCGATGGCACTAACGGGCTATCGTAAAGTTGCTTAGTTTGATGTAAAAAAAAAAAACCTCGTCAGTCCATTGTTGATTTACCCGTACTCGTACTTACTCTAGTACTTTTTTTCGTACTCGTACTCGCACTCATGGAATGTATTCGCACTCGTACTCGTACTCGCAAAGAAAACAAATTCCCTGTACTCGTACTAGTGGCAAAGTACTCGCACTCATACTTGTAGTACTCATCGTACTCGTGGAAAAGTGCTTGTACCTAACGAGACTCTTAAAAATACAGTGTAAACAAAAATTGGTAAAAAAGTGGACTTTGAATGAAGGGCATTGAAGGCATGTTCGGCACACAGTGTTGGTTATCTCATCTGTGCAGACTAGCTCCATTCTGGATACAATATACAGCCATTGGCTCCTACAAGATAACAACATTTAATGATTTGTTGATAATAAATGAAGGACTCATTGAAATTATAAAATATTAGAGAGCAAGTTTAAGGACCAACCATTATTCAACCATATTAATTTGAATCTTGTTTCACTCTTGTCCTGAAACATTTCGTTAATTTTAATTATAACATGCTATATCGAATGCGTGACTGCTGTCATAGTTGTAATAAAGTAAAAATATCAAACTGTTCCATGGCTCCCACTTGTTCCAGTTTTACTCTGCAATACACGTGGCTACACTTCATGGTTTAATTAAGTTGTCCAATTGTGTATAGTTATTTGTTTGGGTCTAATAAAGGGTTCACGGCTTTGTTGATGTGTTACGTTCATGAACTATCTCGTTTTTCTATAATGTGTGAAAAGTACCCGGGAATATGTGTACCCATAGAAATGTACTCGTACTCGTACTCATGGAAAAGTACTCGTACTCGTAGAAAAGTTTTGCTTTGTACTCGTACTGGTATTCACGGAAAAGTGTACTCGTATCCATGGAAAAGTAATCGACTACAACACTGCAGTCGTCACTGACACAAATTGAAATAATGGAAATAATTATAGAGGAAATAATGATTATCAATAGGCTAGACTAATTCTAAAGAAAATTTTAATGGTTAATTGAGAAATTCTCGAATTCAAGCGCGCCAATTTAGGCAACCCCATCCCCGACATTTAGCTATTTGCCGGACACAATCTTTACGAATTTCAGGCCTAAAACTTCTTGAAAAATAAGTCATAATGAAGGCTCGTCTACATCATGGAGCTATAAAAAACGAAGAAGATGTAGTTCCATGACTACACAGAGGTTCAAGCGACACTACGTGAAGAAAGTCAGGGGAAGGTCTTTTGTATTGCGGGGCCTCCCACAATCCTTGGGCCCACGCACTCCATGCACAATCTTACCCATCAGGCCCTGCCCCATTGGCTTAATTAAACAAAAGTTTGAAATGTTTAAAAATGTCGAAGTCAAGAAGTATATGTCGTCCATGTACAGTGAAACGCCGCGATAACGAACACGATGGGGTCCACAGAAAGTGTTCGCTATAGTGTTTGTTCGTTACAGTGATTGTGCATTATAATAGAATTCACTATTTCGGGAGCCCGTGGGGACGTTATAGTGGTGTTCGTTATAGCGACGTTTCACTGTATAACGAATCGAGTTTCCACGTTACCGCACTGCTAGAGCGACATAGTGGCTCTGCTTCACAGCATTTTGGTTGCAGTCGATTTTATGGTCATTTTTGTTGTTGGAACGGGAGAAAGCTTCCACAAAGGCTTGCCGGTAATGATGGCTCGTCACGTTATAGATGATGGGATTAACCGCCGAATTCAAAAACACAAACACGTGACAGACGGTGAGGGCGAACACCAACTTCCGGTACGTGACATCAGGTGGGACCCCGAGCAGATTCTCCACGAGGATACCTAGGGATAAGGCGATGAAGGGCGTCTGGCAGAGAAAGAACACGGCACCGTTGGCGATCAGCATACGGGCGACCTGGTTACGGATATGAAGAGCTTGCTGGGTGTGCACTGACGAAGGCGTGACTGGGTTCTGCTCACGCTTGCGTCTCACTCTGGTATTGAGATTGATGATGATCAGGGTATACATGATTGCATTAGTAATCATGGCGACGATGAAGACGATGGATTCTAAGACATGACCGACAATCAGTCCCCAGTGACTGACGGCCACACAGTATCCCAACTGGACCGGTAGGTCGTAGTAAGGTTTCTCATCCGGCCAGATCGCGCAGGTCTTGAAGAGTTTAGCATATCGCGCCATAACTAAACCAGCAAGGCCAACCGCCACCAGCCAGCTACCAACCACCAGCTTCAAGCTCTGCTTCAACCTCGTGCCGCCCTGCTGTCCGTGATTGAGGAACGGCTTACAGATGGCGTTGTATCGCTCGTGAGTGACCAGGCTCACCATGGAGATGGAGGCGAAATAGGTGACGTACTGGGGGAAGAAGGCGCCCACACAGCCCACGAATGACGCGGTGGCTAGGTGACTG